TAAAAATTAACGCTTACGGGGTAAACATTTTTCATATTTAATCATTCTATTTTTCCTGATAAACTGACTGTTAAACAATAAATTTTTTGTCGTGCACGAATTTGACTATAAGGAAGTGAAACAGTCAGAATTGCTTATCAGATTCTTCACTTCGTATATACTCATGATAGTTTGTTCATATGTGAACAAAAGCTTAGTCATAGGTGATTTTATGTAACTCTAACAGTTTATAGCTGTTCATTCATTGTTGATAAGAAAAACTCAACAATCCCAATAACTGGAATGAAAGCTTGAGGAAAGTTTAACAAACTGAGGGACTAAACTAAGAATTCAGTTTCTTTTGTTAGGCTTTAAGCAACCTTTAGAGGATTCGAACTTAATTATCATTTTCAGTAGTAAAGTTTTTAAGAAAACGGTGATTTCCTCCTAATATTAACATCAAGAAAACGGAAAGAATATGAGCTGTATCCTTTTCTCTTCGATACAGTATATATAACTGTAAGGTTTCATCATGTGATTCTATGGGAACATTTATAAACTGAACTATAAAAGAACATCATATTTAGAACGCATTGGGGTGACTATATTTTGTCCACTGTCGTGTAGATTCGCTGGTAGATTATCACATTAGCCGTAAACGTATAATATAAAATAGATGACATCTTGTATACTTTTCTCCAAACAATATCTATCAGTTATGGAACAATGGTCATTTCAATATTAGGGATTTCTAACCTTCGATGAGGATGACAGTTGTTAGTTGATCTAATGACTTTATAACCTGATCATTTTGACATTCATGGACATCAGACACTTGTAAAAGAATACAGAGTTACATCACCAGTGAACTGTCCGTCAATAAATCGTAAGCTGTATAACTAAATGTAACCTATTGGTTTTAAACCAACCTGTTAATTCTCCGTCTTACGAGTAATTTAAGTTTGCACTTATAGACTCTTAACACAAACATCACATTATATGGTTATTCATTGGCATATACCTTTTAACTTAGTATTCATCATAGACTGACATCATTTGGAGGAACAAAGGAAACCTGGGAGCAGTGGACAGCTGTTTCGTTCCAGTACCGGACTCCTCAGCAGTGCGCATCCACGACCCCGCCAGAGATCGGACCCAAGACCTTCAGGCTCCGTGGCCAGCACGTTACCACTGAGCCAATGGGTGGGAATCCAATGATCCATATTTCTAACTTCTGCCAGTTCACGACATAGCGTGGGTTCGACACCTGGCGAGGTCATGGGTGCGCACTGCTGAGGAGTCCCATACTAGGACGAAACAGCTACCCAGTGTTTCCAGATTTCCGTTGTTCCTCCAACTGATGTCAGTCTACGATGAATAATAACTTGAAAATATTCCTAAATCTTCACAACCCTTTTGAAATATACCTTTTAATAAATCAGTATTTTTTCACAAGTTTGAATAAAATGCATCAGAATAAACTAATTTTTTTATGAAGTGATTCCTGATGAACTCACTTTGTCTGGTGGTAAAACTTTCAAAAATTAAGCTCAAAGTTAGATGAACAAATAATTATCATTTTCATCCTGAGCTGCAAATCGCCTGTCGTTTCAATGACGAATTGACCGCCATATCATTAGCTATTTTCATTGCAATTTTCACTTCTCATAACTATGCGATTTCCAGTGATGTTCATTTTAAACTGTGGCGAAATCTGCCCATAGATTACTAACCTCAGTTTAGTTTCTAATCAGTAAACTACTTACACGAAGCTTGCATACGATATTTGGATGCGTAGCAACTGACAACATTCACAAAATGCTATTGAATTGAAGAATAAATCGTTAGGAAACTTAGTGAAAGCGTCATTACTAAAAAATGCAAATAGTTTTGGAGCCACAAAAATTTAAAAGGCAGACTGGCATTCCTGTATTGCATGGAAAGTCAAAAATGAAGTGTATATGCACTGTCGTCCTCTGTATAAGTTGCCTGACAAACATTATTTTCAACGTCATTCAAAGATGCTTTGCATTCATACGTTTTATGCTTATTAACTCGAATGTTAAGCATTATTCAATGTTTAGACTGTACATCTTGATTATTTTGTCTCCGTTAGGATCCAAATAGTGAGTTTTTTAATCAAATAATATAACAATATGGTAGATTATAGTTAGGTGGATGTATTTTAGAAGTATTTTGACTGTCTGTTTACGTTATATAGAATAAAAATGCAACTCACTCCTGTAGTTTTTACCACTAAGAATATTTTTTCATCTGGGTGTACTGATTATTCATAAAAGTGATAAAGTTTACACAAGTATAGAATGCTCAAAAGAATACTGTTTTGCATCTTCATTGAACGGAACAATCATGATATTTGCTTTGTGGTATAGGAAATTCAGTGATTGTGGAAAAACTGATGGTTTAAAACGTAGTAAAAAAACTCGGTATTTCAGCTTTCTTATCGAAAGACCAAATTAACTCAATCTTTACCCCACGGTTTACACTAATTGCCAGCCTTGAAATTTAGGTCCGTAAACACAACAACTGAATGTATGGTTGGCATTATTTTTCGCTGAAGTATGCTTCATCATTGCCTAAAGAACTATTTTATTTGAAACGCTGAAGTGACAAACAACATTTTTGAGACTTCAGAAAAAAGCTGATAAGAATTTAAATAGAAATGACTGGTCATATTTCATGTTCACAAATAAGTAGTCATCAAGCTAAGTATAGGGACAGCAGACATCCGTAAAAGGTGAACAGTGAATCGTAAATACGACAAGGAAGAACAATTATGGGATTACCTCGAAAACCGCTGAAATTGATAATAAAATATGGAGTTTTGAAGGTGAAATAAACAGAAGTGGTTTGCAGACCAGAAATTTAAAACGTTTATAGGAATACTCGTATTCATAAAGCATCATAACAACTGGAAATGAAATCAGGATGCTGGCAAAGTGGAATGAGAATTTCGCTAACGGAATATCATGTTATTCAGTCGAAAAATAATGAAACCGCACTTTCTTCTTGCAGCATCTTGTTCGAAGCTGTTGGTAGTATTTATTTGGATATTGAGAAAATCTTACGAAGCTGATAAGTCCACAAGTACCTGGCGACTGGAAGAAGGGCTACACTGTCAAAATCCCGAAGAAGGGCTACCTAAGTCTTTGCAAGAACTGGCAAGGAATCATGCTTCTGTCCACCCAGAGCAAGCAAAATATTAAGTCGCATCATCCTGAAAAGACTAAACGATGCGCTGCATTCAAAACCACGACCGGAAAGGGCTGTATTCAGGAAGTACAAATCATGTAGGGATCGAATCGCAACGCTACGCTACTCATCACCATAGAACAGAGCAAAGAATGGCAGTCAACTCAGTCTAACCTTCACCGACTTTGAAAGACAGGCGTTGGACAGCATCGAAAGAAAAGTAATTTGACAACTGCTTCAACACTGCGGAATACCAAAAACCTTTATCAGCCTAATTCAACAACTATATGAAGATGCCACATGCCAAGATATTCACAATGGCAAGCTCGGAGACACACTTGTAGTTAGGACAAGCAAGAGTAAGACAAGGCTGTCTAATATCGACCATGATATTTCTGATTTTGATGGACAGGACAGGATCATACAACTAACAGTGAGGAGCGGGAAGAGCAGGGTTACGCTGGACCGGGGAAAAAATCCTACAAGACTTGGATTTCACCGACGACTTATGTCTAATGTCATGCAAACTCGAAGATCTACAGACAAAATCCAACAAGTTGACAAAAGAGGCAGTGCAGCGAAGATGAGACTTCAAGTGAACGTAGAGAAGATGGAGATGATGAAGATACCAAACCAACGCCACCACCATCAACAATAACAACAAGTTCCAATCACCATCAACGGGAGAAACTTAAAGGAAGTAGCCTCGTTCACCTACCTAGGCAAAGTAGCATCGTTTCAACTACAGGCGGTGGCACAGACGGGGACGTCAAATCCATGATTGGAAAAGCAAGACAGGAATTCATCAACCTAAAACCAGTATGGAGATCTTCTGCACTCAGCATAAATCGTGAACAACATTCGGATTTTCAACACGAATAACAGTCAAGTCAGTGCTTCAATGTGATGGTGCAGAGACTTGGTGCGTTACGAAAGGGATTTCCAACAAACTACAGATATTCATCAACAACTGCCTACGCTGGCTCTTTACTGAAGATCTGATGAGATGGCCAGAAAGGATAAGCAACAAGGAACTCACTGTGCAACGAACCAACGAAGAACGAATCGTTCAACAAATATGCAGAAGTAAGTGGAGATGGATTGGGCATACACTGAGTAGGCCGACTGGGGACATCACGCGCCACGCCAGGCACTCGAGTGAATAGGGAACGACAAGTTGAGTGTCTGAGGGTGACATGGAGGAGATCACGTTGGGAGGAAATGAGAGCTTCTAGGCAGTGGTCGAGCCAGGTTCAAAAGATAACAGAGAACAGAGTGGAATGGAGACGTGCTACTGAATCCCTATGTTCCATTAGGAACACATGGGGCAAATAATAATAATGATAAGTTCACAAACGGTTTCCCCTCATAAAACGATGTTTCTCAAAGTACTTATTTAAATAAAATGTCACAAATATTTGTTCAGTCTTTAACTGGGTCAATGTTTTTACCTATTATTTAAGATGTTCATCAGTTTTATTCTCATTTCGAAGAAGGAAATAATGGTCTTAAAATTGTTAGAGTTTGTAATGTCTAAGAGACTATTCTGAACCTGCTAGTCATCAAACCAACGGTCAGTAATTGTACATTTCCTTTTATTTCCCCTTACATATGCTTTTAAATGGGGCATACGAAGTTGACAACATATAACAAATCATTTCTGTAGTAAGATTCTATTATAGAAGTTTCACAAAATAGCTATGCATCATCAGCGTATCCAATTCTACAGTATTAGAGGATTTGCTAATTACTTTGTACACTGCTAGAAAGAAATTTACTGGTTTTATCTCTACATTATTATTACATAGATGGTGGACTAACACTCTTCGGTGCAAAACTAATTACAATTACAATAATTGTCTTGGAAATATTTTTAAATGTTCATTCATTATGGTTACATAATTACTCAAATGGAAAATGTGGAATTGATTTGGAGGGACATTCACCGATTTTCACCCATATTTATCCTTATTTACTGAGAGTAAGTTGGTATATTATTACATAGTATCATATATATATATATATATATATATATATATATATATATATGCAATAACAATTTTTGTCGAGAGCTTCATTTTGAAAAGTCCCAGCGTATCATTGAGATATCATTGAAACTAAGAGAACCTTTCAAATCTCTGAATATAAAATAATTAAGAAAGCCTGAACATACTTATACAGAAAATTTAAAGCACGATCTACGCAAATGGATTCGACTTAGTGGATGGTAATTAAATTTAGTTCCAAAACGAACATTTTGAAGCGCGTGTTGATTGGCTACCTCAGCACATCAGAAGCTCTAGCAATCCAGTATTATAAGCCTGCTGTTTGTATTCAGGAAAGATATATTCAGTCTCTGATTTTCCCTTGGTCGTAATCGCCCTAAGTTATTTTATTCACTTCATTGTTTATTTACAATAATCCTGTGAGCGAATTCTTATAATCTTGATTTGAACCACTCTACAGTGATGGATATATATATATATATATATATATATATATATATTGTGGTAACTATAATTACCTTGTACAGCTTTTCAAATGATTCATCGAAAAGAAAAGTTTGTTCTCTGAATTTTTATTATCTAATGCGACTATTTCGATTGTTTCAAGGAATAATGAGCTCATTTTGTTATGCATGTTCAGGAAGCCTAAATGTAGTGAATAGTGATAACGTTTCTTATACTTACTAATCATAACCTGTGCCATCTAAAGTTCTAATTTTAGTTCATATCAGCTTAAAACTGTATTTATTACTATTAAAATAAATGAACTAATCAGTGCCATAGGGATAGGTGAGGGAATTTTTTCTCAATACTCTAAGCTACTTTAAAAAGGTTCTATGTAATCTTTTGAACCTGGCTCGACCACTGCCTAGAAGCTCTCATTTCCTCCCAACGTGATCTCCTCCATGTCACCCTCAGACACTCAACTTGTCGTTCCCTATTCACTCGAGTGCCTGGCGTGGCGCGTGATGTCCCCAGTCGGCCTACTCAGTGTATGCCCAATCCATCTCCACTTACTTCTGCATATTTGTTGAACGATTCGTTCTTCGTTGGTTCGTTGCACAGTGAGTTCCTTGTTGCTTATCCTTTCTGGCCATCTCATCAGATCTTCAGTAAAGAGCCAGCGTAGGCAGTTGTTGATGAATATCTGTAGTTTGTTGGAAATCCCTTTCGTAACGCACCAAGTCTCTGCACCATCACATTGAAGCACTGACTTGACTGTTATTCGTGTTGAAAATCCGAATGTTGTTCACGATTTATGCTGAGTGCAGAAGATCTCCATACTGGTTTTAGGTTGATGAATTCCTGTCTTGCTTTTCCAATCATGGATTTGACGTCCCCGTCTGTGCCACCGCCTGTAGTTGAAACGATGCTACTTTGCCTAGGTAGGTGAACGAGGCTACTTCCTTTAAGTTTCTCCCGTTGATGGTGATTGGAACTTGTTGTTATTGTTGATGGTGGTGGCGTTGGTTTGGTATCTTCATCATCTCCATCTTCTCTAGTTCACTTGAAGTCTCATCTTCGCTGCACTGCCTCTTTTGTCAACTTGTTGGATTTTGTCTGTAGATCTTCGAGTTTGCATGACATTAGACATAAGTCGTCGGTGAAATCCAAGTCTTGTAGGATTTTTTCCCCGGTCCAGCGTAACCCTGCTCTTCCCGCTCCTCACTGTTAGTTGTATGATCCAGTCCAGTCCACTATAATCAAGTTACGATGAAATATTTAGATATACCATTTTCTAATTGAATCAAAATATCAGCGCTATATATTATTGTTCAAAGAAGTCTTCATTTCTTTTTGTTAGTGTATTATATTATTTTGGAAACTTCTACCGTATCGTTTTATCATTTAGTTGAATGCATAGTTACTTTTGGAATTTCTGTGTACCTTTTTTCTGTAAATGTAATTATTTATCTATTCAAAGCTTACATATATAATGTAATTGAGTTTTCTGTAAGAGAGTTGAATGAAAATACCTTTGGCATTTTGACTGAACTTTTTCGGCTGAGATTTTACCTTTAATGGTAAAAATACCATTGTGTTTAGTATACATATCAAGACAATTTTTCTTCTAATTAACAGCATATTCTTTGGTAAAAGAAATACTTTAGATGAATAAAAAATGTAGGAAAGAGAAATGTCTCTTGATGAAACAACATTGGTCTAGTAATGGTTGCATTTTATTCATGAAAGAATCATATGTTGACAGTTTGTGGAGTTTTAAAATTTCATTTACTTACAGTATTTAGAGTCATGGTTTACCTGTACTAGATTTTCAATCCTAAACACATTTTTTCTCGATTTTCTTATGTCAATTAAGTTCCAGATTTATACATGCATGCATTAACAGTCTTCATGCATGTATTTTAAAAAACGTTGGAGAACAAATTGTTACAGTGATTATTTTGGAGGAAATGAAAATTTACAATTGGAAAATAAGTAGTCCCTTCTCTTAGACACTAACATTCCACTTCTACAAAGTTAGTGGATTTAGAAGTGATGGCATGCATTTAAGTGAGAATATGTTAAATTCAACTCAAAGGTAAGTTAATATCTCAAATACTCACAGCAGAGATGATCACATGTTACCGCCGAAGGAATTGAAGGTATTTTGATCCAACTCTTAAAATTAATCCATAGCCGACAAAAGAAGCTAACACACAACTTTGAACCTTAGAGATATCCATTAATTAAAATATGTATTAGAGTCCCTGATTTGAGTCTAATAATATAGTTTCAGTGTACAGTCAAGCCAATAGATAGTTGATTGCAATATATTCTGTGCTATTTGTCCAGTGATACATGAAATTGACTAACACTATCTTTGAGTGTGTAGCTAATCTGATGCTTAGATCTGTTAAATGTCTACTGTTATTTTCAGTACGCACTGGAGAGAAATATAAGTTGGTTAAAGTCATGATAGAACGATGTCGCCTTAAACCGTCTAATATGCAAGCAATTTGTCAATGCGATGCATTAGAAATGTGAATTATCGCATGGTTAACAGTTACCAGTGAGAAACTAATTTTAATGGAGCTTCATCAGTCACTAATAGTATATTTCGCTTGTTCTCATTCACTCTACCAGGATTTGACAAATAAAATACACTTTATTCTATTATTCAAATTGACTTCGTGCCCAAGTTTTACCAGATAATCAAATCCTTTGTTAATCTGGATACGTTCAAAGCCAGAAATTAACCCAAGCAATCTATGTGAGTAGAGTTTAAGACTCAATTCTTCCTTCCTCCAAAGTTAAAAAAAGCAATTTTTTGGTTTCCCTTTTCTGCAGTAATCAGTTGCTGTAGTACGTTTTACTAGTAGACTCCGGGTGGATAAAAAAAGTGTTTTGTGGAAGTTCTTTTGCTTTACAATGATGTAACACGCTGAAGTAAAAAATTCTGGAATCAGTTGAAGTTATCGTCATTCAATGACTGCTAAATTTTTTCCATAAATGTATCATAAAGTCTCAAATAAAAAGCATACAATCATACTAGCAGCATTCAGTAGCAAGCCTATTTAAAAACTCATTTGAAACGAGATGTTGTTTACTTTCCTTATCTGTTTCATATCTGTTAAATGTCGAACACGGTCATTTACGAAACCGTACTTTGCTACTAGATATTTATATGGCCTTTTGATTCTTAGTAGTAGCATATTTTTTGAAGATAAAATTTTTTCCCTTTTTACAATCTTTTAATGAAGCATTTATTTTTTTTCAAGGTGATTCAGTGCTCAATACCAAATTTAGGATGTTTTATAGGAGTTATTGTTTATATAATCTACAGTTTAATCCAATTTAAGCGAAAGGAATTAGAAAATGAAGCGACAACACCAACAACTAAATACGATGCAATTGATCTGAAACCTATTCGGAACTGGAATGCCTCAAATGAAGACAATTTTGAAGGAGTAATTATCAATCCGTTGGCATGCAATTCATCTGTTAATTTGTCAGCAAATTCAACACAATCAAGGTATAAAAAGTTTGTTCAGCATGGGATATTTAGACAATTAAAGATAAAAAATTGTTCAATTCTCTTGTCATGTACATTATCTCCACAAACATGTTCAACACATCCAGATTATGTGAAGCCTATCATCAGTATACAGTCCAAAGATAATCCTGATCACTCTGACAATTCCTACAATCAACTTCAGGATAACCAGCAGAAACGGCATAAAATGTTACAACGTTCAGTTTCAGATTGGGATAAGAAATCCACTTGTTCAATATTCATATCATTAGACACTGGTAAATACTTGGGCCTTACTTTGGCTATCTATCAGGTGATATTCAATGTCCCAACAGATATTCTATGGTATTATACAGAACATTTGCAGCCACGATTTACAAGTGATAATGTTGCACGTTTTTATGAAGTGGTCAAATTTCGGCAGTTATTTAATTACAGTATACACTGTTGGTCATCATTACAACTATGCTTTTTATTCTGGATAACATTTCTTTTAAGTTCGATAGTGCGACACCAATGTAAACATTTATTTTGCAATAGAAAACAATTTTATTGTACACAAAGCTATTTTACATGTTGCTTCTGTGGTTATAACTGCCTATAATGTTCTATTTTTGTCTATCTGAATTCACTTATTAATATGGTTTTCATTAAAGTTGTGATTACTTTTTTGTTGAGATCACCGAGAAAATTGTGAAAAGGCGTCAGGATTTCAGAGTAGTACTCAGCATAAACTGACGTCAGTTGGGGAAACCATTCAAAATGTGGGAGGATTGGACAACTGTCCCAGTATGGGACCCTTCATGAGCGTTTACCTGATACCCCACTAGGGATGTAACCAGGGGATTCCACCACGAAATTAATTGTCTTTGTAACACCGTATTAGTATGTATGCTTGCATCTAAGTACTAGTACTGTGTCAGGAATGGCGGTTTGATAAATATGCGTATAGATGTCTACATAAAATTTATTCAACTTAATAGCTAAGCACTTTATGAGATCTGCACAGATTTCATCGTTTTTATCTCATTATTTAAGAAGAAACCTTTATATTTAACTTATTTCATACTTTGAGGCATATTTAATCTATGCCATAGTCATCGCATCAGTAGTTGAGATAGTTGCTAGAATACTTTTTATTTATACATTTATGCAGATCACCCTAGGAATTATCTAAGATTTCGTAAACATTTTCTAAACAACACTGAGGTTACACTTAAGAGTTTGATTGTATGATGTTTTGAACGAGAAAAATCATATGATCCTCTTAGAGACACGATACACAATAGCACCAAATCATCAAGTACAGAACGATGATAATTTTTAAATTAGCAGGGGCATCGGCGAAACAATGAGCACTGAGCATTGAGTGCTGAACACAAAACTGAACAGCAATGCATTCATTGTTTAGTAGATATGTAAACTGATGTAACTGAGTTGAAGTGACAGGGTAATAATAAATACTCGGAATGATAATAACGTGATGCTATACTGGGACTGGTTACGAGTAACGACCGCTTTCCCTTAGACCTGATAATTCACTGAGCCCTGAAATTCAGAAGACAAAGAACGGCCTATGACTACACCGAAAACAACTGTACTTGACTAAAAGAATATTACTTATATGCAGTTTCTCCTAGGAAAATAAAGCTACTAGATCACGGGTTGGATATTTATTTCCACTGGTCAGCTGGAGGACAAATTTGTTCAATAAAGTTTTTCCACCAACACACAGTAGTACGAAACCAAGGTTAAGATTCAAAATTTCTACTTTGGCTGTTGATGACCTTGTCGTGCTCTGATATCTGACTTCAAATTTATATACGCGTCACGATACACTATCGCCTATTTATTATCCTCGACACTGATGATCCATCTGCGTCAGAAAGTGTAAATATCAGGAGATAACGTGAAGTATGCAGCAGGATATTGTATTGGTCATGGAGTAGACAAGGATTTGAAATCAGTACAGTTAAACAAATTTTCACTTATGAGTTGTTAAACGAACAAAATACTGTGAAACAAATACTACAACCTTGAGTATTGTTTTCGACTTAGGCCGCTGCCTATCATAAACCATGTATTGTGTTTGAGCACATTGATATATAAAGTTTTAGTGTGATATTAAGGATAACAAAATCATGGTAGTTGTCAGTAAAGCATGATGTTTTATCTAAACAAAGATATGAAAAACTATTCGATAAAATCTCTTCTAACACATCACCTCAATAGTGTATAAGATTTTGCTCAGAAAAAGTTGTCAAAATATACGTTGTTCGCATCTATTTTGGGTTTTAATTTAACGCAATTTGATGAACTGCAGTTGAACTCTAGGGAGCTAGGTGGTACGATGAATTAATTTTAGTGCGTTTATTATAGATTTACATACCAATGAATATCAATGGTACGATTAATTTTTTAATTCCAGTATTGTTAGCTTGAGGGGTATGTGAAGAAGTTACTCATGTGTCACAGAGTTAACACATAAATCCTCAGGGACTCCATCGTAATGTACAAGGGTTGTTGGTGACATCGGCAGCAGGGAAGTGTATGCTTCTCAAAATCATTACATATTCCTGAAAAATATAAACTTTATCCCAAGAGATACGTTGCCTTAGTAACTCCTGTTTGTGTCAGTTGGAGGCAGTCATGGATTAACTATGTAGTATGCACTTCCGAATTAAAGCTATAGAGCTTCCATCATCCTTTCACAAATTCATTATACTGTATAAACTTTCTCAATCTGTCGTTCTGTGTGAAAGTAATTCCAACTCCTTACTTGGCGCTGTTTCTTCAGCACCAGTTCTTCTCATTGTCGACTGAAATACTGTTTAATTAGTAGGATCTAAAATTCTGATGCCACACTATTATGAAATAGTCTCGTTTAATACACAAGCTTTGGCAATTTACCTGATTTTTCTTGTTTTAATAAACAATGCGATACTATATTATCTTTGATCTGGATAGGACCAGTTGTAAGATCATAACATTGTAGGTGTGAAGTCCATCGTGCTAATTTCATGAAGCCAGCTTGCGCTGTCTGTAACCACTACATGGGTTTGTGGTTAGCCTCACTGTGAAAGTATGAATTCATTCCAGCATCGTCTACTATATACCAAACAAGGTAAAGTTCTTCTTGGTAGTCCTCAACTCTGATTCGTTAGTGATTGTTTCACACTCCTTAATGAGTATTATTTTGGGTTCTAAATACCTTTCTTTGGATGCATTCTGTAACCGATCATCTGAACATCAGAACATCGGAACACAAAAGTTTAGCAAAACATAGAATGCTAGACACTACTAAGATCAGTAATATAGAGAAAAACTCAACTATCACTGCGTGCACTGACTTATAACCATACCATATGATGGGAAAGAGCAACAATTCTAAAATACAAAACAGCTAGGTGGAGGGTAAGGTTGATTACTGAATATTTGTTCACTGAATCAACACCTAACATATCCAGGAGGAATGATTAGTGATGTATCACATATACTTGCAAACGTTTACTACTTTTAAAATAAGACGACGATATAACCGAAGATTGAAAATCATGCGATTATTTTAACATGATTATGGTCAATAAATTTTCCAGGAAACACCATGTAGTAAATAAGACTGAATCACCGTGCTATATCAAATAAAAACTCCAGTGTGGAAACTGTGCTCCATCATATTGCTCAAATTTTACTCTTAAATTTTTGCTGGAATCCCAAAAAGTCGGTCACCATCACTTTTGATATTACTAAATGTACTACTTCAATGAATGCCTATAAGTAGCTTTCATCACAAGTGGGTAAGTGATTCAGCTACAAAAGACGAAATCTATGAAGGTAAAATGACTTGAGTTACTTTACCAAACCAGTTTCAAGTACCTTCTCACTGACAACTTCAAATGTCATACAACTTCATATTATATTAGTTTATTTGATGTATAACACTTAGTGTTACAGCATTATTTACTTCATGACGTTTCTCATAATCACATAAGTGTAATCACACTACTTCCAACAATCTATTTTCATAGTCCTGTCACTTCATGTTATTTGATTTCATTGGTAGTAAAATTTTCCATATCTCTAGTATGGATGTTAAATCATTACTATTACGCGTTCGTTGTAGATTCGATTGACAAATATTCAACCATTGTATGGTTGTCTGTTAACGCAAGCATTGCAATATCAGAGGTCACTACTTTTCTTATTCGCATAACTACACTGCAACGTGAGTAGAAAGGAGTCCATAGTCCCCACTGTGTTACCCCATAAGGAAGGTACATCAGAAACTTTATACATGATCCTCAACAAAGCTGTAATTAGAATGGCATTCAAATCTAGGAACTCATTCAGAGATAAGCTTTATCGGTTTAAGGATTCGATAGTTTCAATTAAGCAAAATCATCTAATCTATCAAATTGCATGCAATGATTGTAAGGTCAAGTACATAGGTCAAGATGACTGATCGGGATCACTTAGATTAGCAGAACATAGAAACTTAACTAAATGTGGAATAACAGGCCCCAATAAAGCGAGTAATCCAGAAAAACTCGCCTATTGCAATGTATGCAGTAACATACAACCACATACAATGGGGTGAGGTAAAATCACTCTACTGAAGTTGAATATAATTAAGTGAAGAGAGAGATCGATTATTGAATGTACATCAAACACATGTAATAGGAATGATTTAACACCCATACTAGAGATATGGAAAATTTTACTACCAATGAAATCAAATAACATGAAGTGACAGGACTATGAAAATAGATTGTTGGAAGTAGTGTGATTACACTTATGTGATTATGAGCAATAATTTAATGCTCGAAACATCATCAAGTAGATAATAATGTTTTACTGCATAGTTTTTTTTATGAAGTAAAATGGAATTACATTCTACCACAATGCCTAAGTTTTACACTCATTTTAACAAATGTCACACATTTAAGTTGTTCAGATAAGCAGTATTATTCGTTGGCATGAGAATACATTAAAGTACATAATATATGTGTAGGTCTAGAGTATACAAAATAAATTTGTCTGGTGAACTGTAAAATCCTCTTTTCTATGAATCAGGCATATTACGAATATAGATATGTTTAAAGAAATAACTCTTAATAATCCACAATTTCATAAGTGATAAAAGGATCTGAAAGATGTATTTAGAAAGTTGATTGCAGTGAATATTGCGTAATCAATTGAGAGACGTTTAGAGTAGATACATTATGCTTCCAGAATTTGAAGTATGTGCTCTATTATCGTTAATTACTTAATGGTTATCACTATTTATTGATATACTCGTAATTCTTCGTTGTTTTACTGGATCGAATTGTTTGACCTCTATTGGAGTACGGGCTCCTATACGGATGCGTCGATATTGCCTGAATATTATTTGTGGTAATTTACTTGGTTGTGGCTAGCAGAAGAATCCAGGGCGCGCGTTTCGTCCCATTTATTGGGTTTTAATGTTTGATATTATTAGCCTCGAATAAATTCCTACTTAGTCTAGATTTTTACTGGAGAATAATCACCTTACAATACTGCACAATACTTCAAATGTATCTAATTCAAAACCAAGTAATTCACAATGGGAAGCTCAGTGATGCTTTTGAAGTGAAGACAGGAGTGAAACAAGGCTGCTACCCACTATCACCC